AGCCCTATTTTCAAGGTGAATAAAAGTTAAACTACACCGCAGGTATTAAGAGTGTGAGCCTAATACACATGTTGACCTCATTAATCCACACTCAGCTCAATAGGGTGTGGGGTGTGGGTGGGTGTGGATGTGGGGTGGGTGCGGGTGGGGGTGTGGGTGGGGGTGTGGGTGTGGGTGTACGTGTGGGCGTGGGGTGTAGGTGTGCGTGTGACTATCCTTTTATAAACACCAACACCCACACCCACCCTCGAATGTGCAACGACATATATAAATTTAGGTGAAACATATCGTCAAATGAAAGATTATACAACGGCATTGACATATTTTCAAAAAGGATTAGAAATACGTGAAAATAAACTACCAAAAAGTGATCCTGATTTAGCTGTAGTATATCACAAATTGGCAAAATTATATTTATCTACTCGACAATATAATATGGCAATGAAAAATGTTCAACAAGCCGTAGAAATTGCTCAAGAAAAATTACCTTCAAATCATCCTCATATTTTGGAATATAAAGAAACATTTGAAAAAATTCGAAAGGAAATGTAATTTGTTTTTTTTTCTGGATTTGATGAATAAATTTATTTGCATTACAATTGATTCTCGCGTATGCGCGCGACCAGGAAGACTCTCTGTAAACCCGCAATGGGTACACGCAGAGCGGACCACGCCGGACTGGTAGGGCATGATCATAGGTGTGACGTACGTAAACGGCGACAGGGACCTACGAACAGACGGCCTTCCCGAGTACTCCACTGCTATCGCCAACATAGGCACAAGAAATCTTCCTGGGTCAGATTACGAAGCCATCTGACGGGCTGTGATATAAAATAGTATCTATCTCCCTCTCTACAGAATAACACAAGTATGAAAGAAAAAAATAACTTGAAAAGTTCTAGTGGCCAATAGAAATTTTCAACTTATTTATAAATTTTTTATCCCAATACGAAAAAAAAAAGAAACAACATACCCTATTTAAGATTGAAATATATATATGTATAAATATCATAATTATGTACATAATTGTATCTTGCACCTCCTGAAAAAAAAAATAAGATTTATGAGAATACTTATTCAATCTATTGTTGATACAATAGATCGATTGAATTGAATGATTTTATACAAGAAAATCATTCCTTATATAGGATATTTGAAAAACATGAACTATCA